CTATTGGGCCACTGTCCCGGCCCCTTCTTCTTCTTTCCCTCACAGGGCCTTTTAGGCCCCGTACTGCCTTTTGTAGTGATTAATACTGCGGCTTGCCCCCTCCCCCCCTCCCCCCTCCGCCAAACGGCCGCAATTTATTAATTCTATTTCCTGCCAACTCCTGAATGTTGGAGCACATATATTTTTTGGCCCACATTTATGAGATGGAACGATACGATGATAAATTCCACATCGAATATGACTACTAGACGGATAATCGGCATGGAGATTGTTGATTATTTGATTTGCGCCGCGTACGATCAAATAGCAATGCTTCAAGCAAAGTGCTCAATTTCCTATTTTAATATACCAAAACCCAAAAACACAACGTTAACGTAATTCAACGATACACATACAAACACCAAAGTCTGAGAACTCCAACGGATCTCGTAGCTGCCGGCTCCCGAAATTTCGCCCGCATTCTTCTTCTCCCCGCTCAATCCGCCTTTGGAAGTCGTAGTCTTCATCCAGTCCGCCGTATCCCCAGCGTCCCCTGTTTTAGAAATAACTGATTTTTCTACCCCAGAAGTCCTTCCTTCTTCTCCCTCCTTGTGATCCCCTTTTGTATACTTTTTATATACACACCTTACCTTGAATACCTTGAACAGCTGTTGTTTCATCGACCTCTGATGCCACGCCATCGATGCAGCTGGCAACTTCTCCATTTCGATCGATCCTGAGCCTGACGAGACCAGGCGACACCATAAAGGCGCACGATTGGAGCTCGCCATCGTGCTGGGGGCCTCCCCAGTGTTCGTTTCATTGCGAGTGGCGAAGCTCTGCTTGGTCCTTCGATCTTGAAAAAGCAGCGGTTTTTTTTCGACGTATGTGGGCCACCACTTTGAATGGTACTCAATTGAACGTATTTCTCTTCGCGGCTGTAGTTACTTATACGTCAAATAAAACTGCAAAGACGGATTTTTGGGTTTATTTTTTCCCATTATGCCTGGAAAACTGATTAGAGTATGATCTGGGAATTTGTAAAATCAAATTTTCACTACGATTTAAGCCGGGATTTTTATTGCAGAACGTCTGTATGTTTGTCCGGTGAAGGGAACTTTCAGCATGAATCGATCCATTTCATATATGAATAATCAAGGAAAAGCACAAGCAACTAAAACTTCCGAAGGTATTTTTTCTTAGAACTACGATTTTTAACTGTTTTTTTTTATTCTTATATGCAGATGGTCATAAATTCTTTTGTTGGATATGTTTTGGAAAATATAATTTCGATACTTTGATCGGCTATCGTTTAATTGTAGTGCATTTGATAGATTTTACGTTAATTCCTTTGGCTGAAATCACCTAGTATTCAGGTGTTTGTCACTGATTTTGCCACTATACTAGTAGATTTTTAGCATCTCGTCCAAAATTTGTACTGGTCCACATTGGCT